GTTGCAATGAATGCAATATGAACACAGCGAGAATATGAGCTGTATGGGCAACTTTTGGCTGCGATAGGCGCGATTTTTTGGGCCGTTTCTTGTCTATCAAAGTTGAGATTGCCTGGTGCCTACCTCATTAGAAATTCCGGAGGGGCTTGACTCTTCTAAAGGGAATAGGAACCGTACCGCCTTCAACGGGGGCACTATGGACAAGATACGAGCGACTGCCGACGCCCCTCCAGGTAAGGGCGCCAACACTTGAAGCACCACTAGCCCGATTTCGAATGGAGCCTTGACGAAAAGATCCGCAGCTTCCTTGGAGGGCTTGCACTCTATCATCCTCACCGCCAAATCCTCGCCCTGCGTGTAGGTTTTAATGCAATCTTCATGCCGTCAAAGTAACATTTGGATGCTGCTGCGATTTTGTCTCTTAGATGGCGCTCGTGGCGTCAACGGGTGGGCTACGAAAGTTTGCAAATTAGGGCGGAATTTGTATGTTATAAACTTCAGGTGTCGTGAAATTCTTTCAGCAGCGTCCCTAGATAACAAGTGTGGCGCCAAACTGATGTGCCATCAGCGGTAACTGGTCCGTAGACCAAACCAACGTAAAAATCAAGTGCATATTTCATGTAAACAAGTATCTGGGATGGGTTTGTGTTCCGAGCAACCAAATTATGGAATCACGAGTATGTTTGCTGTCGCAAGCAGCGAGTGAGTTTTGCGCGCTCAATGCGGTGATCATGTTTCAATGGTTCGTGGAATTATACATTGTTTTTACTCACATTATTCAAAATTCACTCAATTCAGGGATTTACTCCAGAGAATTCCCATACTTCTTTCTAAATAAACCACTGAAACTTGGTCACAAATTACGCCCCTTCTGAAGCAGCATTCATCAAGTTCTCGCAAAGAAGTTTGCCTGTTGTCAACATCATAATTTCCAGATTTTATGTGGCACGGTTCATTGCAATATTGTTCCATGTTCTCTGAACTTAATGAATTCGCTTGGAAAACCTGGAAGCAGCAAAATTATTTAAAGGACGCTGCTTCACACATTCCCGCTGAACATATTCCAGTCATTCCAAAAATCATAGCTGTGTACAAAGGCCACTAATTTGGACACAATTTTTATCAATTTGGACACAGATTTTCCTAAAATCAAAGTGTGCTTCACATGCGCCTGCTTGATTTCATTTTACATGTTACACAACTCTCGTGCGTGTTTTGGCAGCTTCCATCGCTCCTGGATTTCCTGAATATATTCAAGTGTCTGACTCATATAAGTCAGACACCAGTGGGAGGGCGCAGATGCCCACCTTCTTGTTTAGCAAATCTTGTATTCCAACACTGGCTTCCACCATTTTAGCTGCCTTCTTTTTCCCTTTCTTTGCCACAACGGTATCCAAATTTGTCGCCCCCGCACCATCTGGCGCTCCCCGGTGCTTTTGAAACAGCTCGGTGGGGTCCAAGGCCGTCCCATCCCACCAAATTGTACCACTACCTTGCGCATCCGTACTGCTCGGAGCTGCCTCCTTCTCAACTTTTTTGGTACCAGAAGGTTTTATTCCCAACAGCCCAACCAGCCTTGACTTCTGCCCAAATCTCCTATGCCCAACACGCTTAACTTGACGAGGCTCCATGCATTGGGTGTGTCGCAGGTGTTTCCGAACATCAGTTCTTGCGATATCACAAGATGGACTGTCGCACCTTTGCCAACCGATCTCTTGTTCCATTAATAGATTGCATCCCCGATTTGAAGTGCTCTAAACCTTCGAAACTCCGTGTACGGATGCTTGTTTCGTGCCAACTCTTTTCGGATGTGGAAGGTATGATGGGTATCTAAACATTATATTATAAATTCACATACCTTACCTAAAATATGCAGATTTATCACATATCTTCATGTGTTTATAACGTTAAGTAGCCTCAAATCATTGGAGTCTGCTATTAGGTTTTGGCTTTATAATACCAGAACTCCTTAGCAAGTGTCAATGCTTAAACAAATATTTGAGTCTGTGCAACGCCGTAGACGTAGTCTTGTATTTAGGATATTGTGCAGGTTTGTGCTTATTCTAATCATTCGTTTCAGGCAGGCTTGGTTTTTGCGCCGCAAAAACTGATCTTATTTGCGTTTTTATGCGTAAAATAGTTTTTGCGTTTCCACATGTAAAAATAGTATTTCCGTTTTTACGCCAAAACACGGGTTAAAATACGTAAATACAACGTAAATGCAGCCCTGTGTACATACAAATAGTACGTTGAGACTTCAGAGTCCAGGGAGCGGAAGTCAGATGCACTGGCATGGGTAGAAAACGAACTTTTGTTCCATGCCGTCGGAGCCCTTGCAGAGAGCGAGGTAAACATGGTGTTGCGGGTGCTGGAGATGGCGGAGGACTGATCAGTGTACTCGACTTTCATCGTTTAACCTGAATGTCCAAACAGGCTTGGTTTTTACGCCGCAAAAACTGATCGTATTTACATTTTTACTCGCAAAAAATAGTTTTTACGTTTTTGCGCTAAAAAATGCGTAAAAATACGTAAGTACAACGTAAAAACTGCCCGTTGTACATAAGGACAGTACATACAGACTTACGGAGTCCAGAGAGTGGCAGCCAGACGCCCTGGAAGGGGCCTAAAACGAGTTTTCGTTGAGCGCCATTATCGCCCATACAACCGTAAACATAGCCACCAAATTGCAGTTATGAACTGCGAGCCTGGAAAATCCACCAAACCACGTCATATTTTCACAAAATTTTGTTCGCAACGTATTAATTTGAGCCCAATTTGTGTTTTCAAATTTTTGAGTTGATTGGTTAAGTATCCAATTCGCAGTGTCGTCCTGAACATACGTCGCTCAGCCAAACATTTCAAGATGGCTCCCAACCAGCCCATTTTCAGGGCCTGGACCATACCCCCTCGTGCATCTCCCAATCTCGCGAAGTGGCATGACTTGAAGTCATGCTTCAGATTTCAGGTTGGAGCAGAGATGCGAAACCGGAGAGTAGCCCACCAGCTCGTCCCAAAAGGCATGATTGAGGATCTCGCCCGTCTTTTGCCTCAATTTCCATTTCTCGAATTGTGCGCCAGTTGCACGCCGCAAAATTATCAACTTGCATTGCAAGCTATTACCGCTGTGTCTTGGGACGTCTATAGTTCCCTTGCCATGTGTGGGGCAAGTCCATTCCAGGGGATTGTTGATTACACCATGGAACGGCCTATCGATGGTCTCAATTGTTCGGCACGTAGTCTCAAATCTACGGGCAAGATCCTCGATAACGCTTTTTGGAATGCGCTGCCAGTCTGCTCACTACCTCTATATCTCCACTCTGACCTATAGTCTAAAGCGTGTCTCCAACTCTTTTGGTTTCGCTTGGAGGGGGCCACCGCAATGTGGCATGGTCCAGGGCCTGGAAACAGAGGGGTTCGGCGCCACCTTAAAAAATTGGGGTATTTCCAGAAAAGTGGAGTCTGTTCAAAATACCATCATTGATTGAGCACTTAACCGATTGACTTAAGAATTCGATAGCACAGATTAGGCATAAATTAAAATACTTTTAAAAATTTCACTGAAATTCTGATATGACTTAGTGGGTTTTTCAGGGCCATAGATCATAGCTGCAATTTAATTTGGGAGGGAGGAAGTAAAATCCAAGCTCGGTGTCAGGTGAATTTGCAGAAGTGGGAATAGCGTTTGGGTTGGGCCGTTGGATTAATGGCATAACTCCAGTGCGGGCACGTAATAACTCTGTGGATTTGATAATCACCAGGCACCTAATAATGCAGGGCATCTATCTAATGCCATTTACCGGTTGATCCAAATGAGTAAATACATTGGGTATTGGCAGGGCTGCACATCGTTGGTTTATGCTTTTAGGACATCATTTACAGCAGCTGGTTGGTATGCTCTCCTGACACCGTAAATCATGTACATATAGACTCAACCGACCAATTGGTTTCCTGAAATTCATTGAAAACTGTTGAAAACTGTGCTATTGTTTTCCCTTTTTCAGACCAGCCCGATCAGTCAGATTAGCCCAAACATGCTTTGCAGAGGCCTATCTCCACCAGCGATGCGCCGATTTCTTTCCGATCCGCTACGCCACCACCAGCAAGGCCACGGTGCTTCTGAAGAGGCGCGCCCGTACATACAGTTATTTCCACATTTGATCATCCTTTTCCACTCAGTCTCACCTCGCGCGGATCTTCACTACCTGCTCGTAGAATTTCAAATCGGACCGAATCTTTCCCCAGGGAAGAAAGTTTTGCCGTATTTCCAGCAGGGATCTATAATAGGCGCGGTAATGCATGCGAATGAGGGCGCAAAGCCTTCCAATGTCGGTTTGAGATGTTGGCTGTCTTGATTCGGAGGCAGTCTGCACGGTAAGGTCTTTGTGCACGTTAGCGGTCGCTTCCAAAGGGCGGTTCTACATCTCCACAAAGATGTGAACATTTTGAGCAAACAACTGCTGAATCCTGTCCACGGAAACGGATGACATGCCCACCATGGTGCAGAAACTACTGTCGCAGGAGCTGGTGAACAAATGGCCGGCCGACTTGAATGATGCTTCGAGCGAAACACCCCCGTTGGTCGTGATTGAAAATTTCGAAGGTGCATGGCACACGTCCTGCCACATACTGCTAGGAAAACTTAGGTCGAATATTTCACTTTCCACCTTCTTCGCCATGATAATGCTGACTCTATTTTTTACGCACGCAAGTCATGCAGCGAGTAGGCATCTGCACCGAGCGGAAATGCGCACAAGAATTTGAACGCTGTCAAATGCACAGTGTTACTCCGAAAGTTACATTGTTTAACTGTATATGAACTGGCGCCACCTTCAGTTCTGGCTTTTTATGTGCCAAAATGTTATGTTGTTTCTTGCTGCCTAGGTTTGAGCAGCGCGTCGTAGATGGTCACGCGCTTTCAAGCATATCAATATTTAAATCACATATTAACATGTTCTAAAAGATAATGATCCGGGATAATGAACAATAGTTCGCAAAGTCACCTCTTCCTCGGTGTGCACCAAGTCCAGCTGCAAATCGCCCTGCCTCTGCAGCCTGTAGCGGCCCAAATCTTCCAACGCCGCTTCTCCAATGGGCTTGCCGTCGATGGTGACGTTCCTCCACGTCACCGTTTTAACGCCCCGCGTCGGGCAACCCGTCATACCCAGCACAGCGTCCCTCAGCCGCAGCGCTATGTTGTGCTCGTGGGGCTTGGAAAGGTCCAGGCCGTAGGAGCCTGTGGGGTTCTCGACGTCAAAGTAGGCGTAGTCTCCCAATCTGAGAGATGCCCAACATTTTGAATCACCGGAATGGCTGCAATATAATCATTACACATACATGTGCGGGGCCGCGCCTCTAGAGTCCCAGCCTCGGGCGACGAGCAACGTTGCTGAAGCTCCCCATCGCCGGGGGTGGAGGGGGATGTCGCCGCCCCGTTGCCACGTGGCGTCGGTGGGAGAACTGAGAGCCCTGTCGATGTTGTCAGTGGCCACGGCGGCCCCATCCCCACTTGCGACAATCCCACCGATGCTGCGGACGCCTAGCCGTCCTCCCAATTCCTTTCGTCGGCGTCGCCGTGGGTCGCGCCACCGTCGCCGGCGACGTCGCCCGAGGTTGGGCCTTTTCTCAAGTACGGTGCAACATTCGCACGGTTTTTTTTTAAAAAGTGGTGTCCGTGCATGTCAGTATACGGCTGCGCTGGGCAGCAGCTCATATTTTCTTACCATTTGGCAAAATGAGAGCGTGCGATGTTCACATCGGTGATCAGTATCTTTTGGGCTTGTCCAGGCAACGCCCGAACGCCAAGAGGACGTTGCCGTCCACGCGTGAATTGGATGGCAATCTATTGTTTCTGTCTTATTCAATTTTGGCGTGCATTTATTACCTGGCCATCAAACTTTCGACCACGAGAGGAGGTATACGAGAATTTCCAACAACCTTAGTCCAGAAATCTTGCGGGTCCTCCAGATCCGTGTAGATGATGGCAGCAGCGTTGCCAATGTCGCTCTCTCCAATATTTGTGTCAAAGGTGGCGAGAACCTGGGGATGCGGACACAAGGTGTGCACCCCTTCCTCACCCATCCGCCAAATCAGCGATGAAAGTACCGGGACACTCAGAAAATGAACGTAATTCACAATTGTAGCATAAATAATCAACGGCTAGAGAAGTTGGAGGACAATATCTGTGGACAACACTCGTGTGCATTTCGAGCGCCAGGAGGCCTGTTTTCGCGAACTAGCCCTTTCAATTGCCCGTGCTCAATTGCACGCGTATGGATCCCAATAATGGCGCTAATTCTGGAAATCTTGCGCAATTTAGAGCGCGGTCTTCTGAGTAATAGCGGGCATTTAATCTCGTAAGGTACGGCCTGTATTTTTTCCTTCTATTTTGGGCACCCTCATCGGAAATCCAAAGAAACTAGCATGAAAATGAAAGGGGCTATTGCGAGTACATGTAGCAACATCCACAAAAGTGTAATTGCGCATGACCAAGCAAGGGGCGATGTAATTGGCACCCCTGGCGAGATGTCAGACGCGACCAACCACAGATGACGGTAAAGCGAATGTTTTCGGCGACCCAGCAGTCCCGCTCAGCTCAGATAGATGAATTAATATGGCACTTTCACATGCATAAACAGTGTTCTAAAAGCAAATGAGTTTTTGACCCTGTCTCCTTGAGGAACAATGCAGGCGACATGCTCTTTTCCTGATTTATGCGCTGCATTTGCCAGGAGCCCTTGCTAAAATGCCTTTGAATCCCATTTGGCGTTTATCAGCTTGATTTTCTGAAAGCACCCACGGTTGAAAAAGTTCATTAAGTATAAATCCTCTCAATCTCTTCCCTCCCAAACCTGAACGGCCGCTTCTGGCGTCATCAGGTGATCCGTGCAAATGGCGTAGACCATGTCCAATTTCCACGCCTCCTGCACTCCCCTTCTGTTCATCTCCAACAGCACCCACTTCAGCAAGAAGTATGGGATGCTCTTTCTGTGGCTTCTGGACAGTACGGCAGGGCAACTTAAGCGGAAAGACAATTTTCCGCCTGAAAACCCATCCGCGTCCAAGTCCAGTGTCGGGAAATCGGGTGCCTAGGATGAAGATGGTGTATCTTTTTGAAGGGCTTAAAATGTGAAGCTGCGATGCTCTGACTTGCGCACGCGATCCACGGGCCTCGTGGGCACTGTGCGGCAATCTCATGTTCCGACTCATCATTTTCATGCTGCAGTTTACTAACCTGTTTCATGTGAGTGGTTTTCGAATTACCATATCGCAAACAGTCTCAGGCGCTCAGCGCACAGTGCCTTGGACCACGTGTCGCACGTGCACAATAAGTTGATAGCTTTGCATTTTAACTTTCCGTGAACGGTTTTTTCCGCCCGTTGCATCAAAGGAAAGAGGGAGATCGCCTCTTCGCAAATCAACGGAAGCAACGCTCCGCTAGAAAGCCTGCTGTGCGTGGTTGTGTGTGCCAAGATCGAATCATCCTCGCAGTCGAGATTCACACCTGAGAGGGGGAAATTGGCTTCCCGTCCAGAAGTATCTGATCGAACTCCAGCTCATCTCCATCACCAGAGCGGCTGGAATCCCTCAATGCCGACAGCTCCGTCAGGATCTGCCTGGAGATCGGATTCGCTAAATCCAACTCATACAGCCCCGAAGGGGTTTCAAGATCCAAGCCGGATCCATCTGTGCTAATTTTCCTACTCCCCGCGCCGCCATTCTCGTTCGACGCCTTCCCTTTGGCCCCCTTTCCCTTGGACTTCTTTCCAGACTTCTTCGTTTTCTTGGATTTCTTCTTTCCCTTGGCTTGTGGCACTGACAAAGGGACGCGCGCTGCGTCGTAGAGCGTGGGAATTCCTGTGCAATACGCCTTTGAGGAGAATTCGAAGGGCGTTTCAATCATTCCTCGGGATCCAGCGTTCAGCGCACACTCGAATATTGACACGGAGACATCTTCTAGAACTAAGTATTTGGCTCCGCTGGCGATCAGTCGCTGCTTTTCAGCTTCCACTGCCTTTACTTTCTTCGCGAGATGCCTGCGAAATCACAGGGAGAGGCACTTGGAACGAAATTACCGTGTGTGTGCTTACCACAAAGACAGAACAGCACTACCCTGGATTGGCTTTCTCACCAGCGTGAGATGGAATGGAAAATTGGAGGCCGTTTTTACAGTTGGCCACGGAAGCAGATTGTATTCTCCGGTCATGTTTGTGGCGCAACATGGAAGCGACACTCAAGGAAGGTGTTGGATTGTGCTGGCCATATATGGCATCTTGAATGTAGTCACATGTATGTACCTTAGGTTTCACGCAAATGCGCATTTCTGCTCTTGTGCATGTTCGAATTAACCAGCTTCTCCAAGACGCCATATCGAGAACGTAGACGTGCATTCACGGCCGCTCACATTTGGGGCGCCCCCATGTGAGTGCCGTGTTCTGTATATGTTTGTACGTGTGTACAGCTGATGCACATTTCACATAATATTGGATTTCCAGTGTGTGGGGCATTTTAGATATGCTGCCAAATTGAGAGCAGTTGCAAACGCTTCCAAATTGGTCACCTGCATTGAAGAGCAAGAGTTCCTATGAAGAGTGTCACAATGTGATCAGAGAAGGGCGACACGAATTTGCCAGGCTAGCACATGGAATTCCACGTGAAGCTTTGACACTATAAGATGTCACATGTAGGATTTACTGGTAACAAAATGTGATAATAGGGGCGGGGAATAAGCCTTGCAAACACAACAAGAGTGGCTCGCAAATGTGGGTCGTTCGAGGACCAATGAGCAGATGACAATGACAAGCCTTCGAGTGCAGGGTATTGATTTTGGCACCGATCACGTTCGGTCATGTTCGGTCACGAATCGTAACGCATGACTACAGGTCCGACAGAAATGATCCAATTGTAAGTGTAGTTCCGTCTTGGAACGCATCTGGGGGCTGCGTAATGGCACACAAATGATGACTCCACACGCAGATTTCATTCAATGACATGGGGCGGAGATCTTCAAGCACACAACGTCAAACCTGAAGGCCTGAAGCCCAAGGGGGTTCTTGTCAATTTTGATTTCTCTTTTTATCACGATGGGCTCGTTTGGACCGGAGAATTTCTTCTTGAGCGTGGCACTTGGGTGGCTGCCCGGTTTGGGTAATGAGATCATTTCCAGTACTCGGCCTATAATCAGCGCTGACGCCATGCTCAGCTGGTTTCCCGAAAAGTCGATTCGGCGCCAGCTCTCTGCACACGGAGTAGATTCATTGTGAACCGAGGGTGGGAGAGCGCTAAGCGAATGATATGTGTTCTGTATGAGAACTGTATGTGTTTAGGCAGTAAAACTATCCGCAACACAACGCACTGTCCGTAGTTGCATCAGGGCTCTAAGCAATGTGGAAACAGAGTCAATCTGGTGGCAAGATGAGGACTTATTGATTCGCAATTTTCACCTGCTATTAGATCCTGGTGTTGTACAAAATCACCCTTATTAAATATGTTGGAAATGTCTTAATTTCCTTGCATGCCGCTCATAGATAAAATTCACGTAGTCCGCAGACGATTTCGATACCCCATTCCGCTGCTTGTACTGGAAATACCTTGGCGAAATTTGAAAATTACATGAGCGTTTGTATGTTATATAAGGAGCTTCAGCACTTGCTGTGCAGCATACGGGCAAGAATATAAAATTTTAGGTCTTTTTGCGCAGCGATGGCAAAGAAGACGATACCGTGGTCGCTGAGGCCACTGACGACTTCCGCGCATTCGGCATCGCTCATTCCCACGTGAGACAAATCCACTTCCTCGAGAGCAGGATTGAGTTTCAGGGCGTTTCCCATGGCCACGGCGGACCTGTAACCCAGGGTGTTCCATCCCATCATGAGGTGCGTTATGGAGATGTTCTCCTGCAGGAACTCGCCGAAGGCTGTACCCCCCGCGTCGCCGATGCCACATTGCCGAAGGTTGATCACCTGCAGAAATGCAGTGGCTTTTGTGGCTTATTATCGACGAATACTCCGACCCCATCTCATCCAGACAACACGAGAAACAAATTGGGTTGGTGCACTTTAAATACAGCGAATCTGAGTCATTCGAATATTTAATGTCGGGCATGCGCATCGCGAAACACAGACTGTGGATGTTTGGAACCGGCCTGGTGGGAAATGTCAGGCTTGCTATTTGCGTTTATGGCACCAATTTTGCATTTACGCATTTTTAAGGCTGGTCCACACAATCGTGTTGGATGATGGTGTTCCCAACAATGATGAATCCTCCGCCCCTTCGAGCACATGCAGTAGAGCGTCCACCTCCCCTTCGCAAGGGAACGACGCTGTCGGGCAAAGGTAGTCTTCTGCCCACTCCAGAACGTCTGGACACCATTCTCCGTACTCCTTGGGCCTGTATGTACTGCATCTATGTGCAAAGGACACGTTTTCGCGCATTTTGCCTCCTATTCTTGCCTAAAATTGTACAAGCTATTTGCGCGTCAATAGGCACAAACATGTGAGTACTTACGCCGTGAATAACAAACATGGGAAATACTTCCTCCGTCCCAAACTAAATTGCAGTTACGATCCGTGGCCTTAGAATACCCATTAAATCATCTCAGAGTTTCAACATATTTTATCAAAATGTTGCCAATTGAGTACACTTTATGTTCCCAAATTTTTAAGTGAATCGGCAAAGAAGAAAATTTGCGTTGTTGTTTTGAACAGACTCCACTTTTCCGGAAAAATACTCCAGTTCTCCAAGGCGGCGCCGAAAACGCCTGTTTTCACGCCCTGGACCACGCCACTTTCTGGCAGCGCCCACCGCGCGAAGCAACAGGAGTTCGAGAGGCGCTTTATACTTCAGATCAGAGAGGAGATATAGAGGCGGAGGCAGACAGCCAGCGTGTCTGGAAACGCGTGATCGAAGCTCTTGCCCATAGATTTGAGAGCTAGCGCCAAACAATTGTTAGGTTCAATTGCAATTGAAATCATCAGTAAGCCGTCTTGGCATGCAATCAACGATCCCGCGGGAATGAACATGTCCTGTGCACGGCAAGG